TTGACAGTAAAGAAAAAGCCATTGTAGATTGTGAAGAACTTGAACAAATTACATTAAAAACCAAAGAAACTTTACAGAATTTAGAAATTCTTACAAATTCAGAAGCAGTCTATGCAGTTTTGTTAGATTGGGTCACAGTTTTGAATAAAACTTTTCAAGAATTCCATCTGATTAAATACAAAGATTTAGAAGGTGAATCAGTGTTGGAGACTGGTACTAAAGATACTGACTGTGATACAGTTGTGACTAAAAAAAATGGGGAACCAAACCAAATTGATCTCTCAGGTGAAGCAGCTGATGCAAGACTGTTGAGATCAGAGAGTGACTCAGGTGTTGTCATAGATACGGTAAAGAATGAATCAAAGGATCCAAATGATGTTAGAATTACGGACTCAGTAATTAAAATACTCAGTGATAAGGATTTCTGTTATCTCACTGATCCATTGTGTCTTTCCAGTTATCTCCTCCAGGATGTTTCAGAATTAACCCAAGCTTGTTTTGATGTTGGTTGCCATGGTGAAATTTTGAAGTTTATAGAATTTAAATTTCATTGCCCAAAAAGTTTGGAGAACAATCTTAGAGTACCTGATACAGGACTAATTGTTTCTGATTTGAATGGAATAGATAATGTTGTGAATGTGGATATGGCAAATAATGTGAAGCATAATAGCACTGAAGATAAAGAGGTTGACAATGAAACAGTAGAGGTAGTCAAGGAGGCAACTATAGAAAGTGAAGATATTCAGTGTTGTGAAACTAACTTAAGTAAAACTGACCATGGGGACAAAGCTTATGTTGGTGAAAAAAGTAATGAATATCTTACAGATAATTATGCAGCACTTAATGAACAAAAGAAAGTCAGTCTAACAGAATGTGGTGAAATGCAGGATAAGGCAATGTCATTTTTTGTCCGATGTTATTTTCCGTACCTAAATGTTGGCAGAATAAGGGAGGAAACCGTGAATGGAAAATCTTGCTTTGAGTTATGGAGTGCCTTATTGACTTGTATGGAAGGTAACATTATTTATTTATAGAAAAAATATGTAGTAGAAAGATATGACCGTTTTGCAAGATTTAGTTAGCTGGAGTTGAATTTCAGTAGAAATTAAATAAAACAAGCAGTGCTCACGCTGTCTATCTCCAAGCTTGTCATATTTGATAATTTTATAAATTTTGAAAAACTCTCAATTATTTTATAACAACCACTATTTACTTTCATTGCATTCTTAATATTAGGGAAGTGTAAAAATTGATCTTAACACAGTATATTGAAGAAAGAATAATGAGTGTTTTCGTCCTTAAATTGGTACAGATTTTTGGCAGAACACACCAATAACTTAAGTGTAATAATGTAATGTGAATGATATTACATTATAGAAATATAATATATTGTTTGTGGTTAGGTGTATTTATACTGGTCCTTAGAGTAAACCATATGGGTCAGAATATCTGTGCCCTTGCTTGTATTATCAATGGTGACTTGTTATGCTGTTTTTCTATACCATTTCATCATTTGTTGGTTTTAGTAGGTTGTGATGATAACTCTTAAAATGATTTGATCTTGACCTGCCATGTTCCTTTTTGGTGACAGACATGCCTTGGGAAAGATTTGTTGAAGGAAAAAAATATTATGTAAATAGTGTGAGTACAAGTATGTCATATAAACAAGACAAACTACACAATAATGATCTTGTATATTTTCAGGTAAGGCAAGATATGACGGTGAGAGGTATGGTGTAGATGAGAAATCTATTATACGACATCTGTTGAAGAATGAGTCAGGAATGGATCAAGGTGCCATGTTGCTCGGACACATATCAAAGTAAGTGAGACAGTTTGTTTCATACTTGTTTAGATGTTTACTTCTGCAAATAATTACAAAAATCTTCCAGCTTTCATTAATGAAATGGAGTAAATAAATCATTTCATCTATTTTATCATAATAGAATTTTTCTAGTGTAAGTTCTCCTAAAGTTAACCAAGTGGTAATGATGACATAGAAGAGTTAACATGTTCTTTTTTAAGTGAGGTGTTCTGAGCTCAATTTCATTGTTTTGCCCTCTGTTTTGTTCCTAGAAATGAATGGTCATCAAGAAGCTTGACACTGGTACATTTGTTTAGTTGGACCAGACTTTATTGGCTTCTAAACATTTTATAAACAACTCTTTCTTTTTATACCCCCACCACAAAATGTGGGGGGGGCTATAATGGATTCGCTTTGTCGCGTCAGTCGGTCGGTCGGTCGGTCGGTCGGTCCGTCCGTCTCCATTTTCGTGTCCGCTCTATAACTCCTATACCACTTGAAGGATTTTCTTCAAACTTGGCTCAAATGTTCACCTCAGCAAGGGGATGTGCAGAACCCATGTTGCCCATGTGTCAGCTCAAGGTCAAGGTCACAATTGAAGGTCAAATATCAAACACAATCATATATTAGACAGTATGTCGTGTCCGCTCTGTAGGTCCTACAATAATTGAAAGATTTTCTTCAAACTTGGCTAAAATGTTCACCTCAACAAGGGGATGTGCAGAACTCATGTTGCCCATGTGTCATTTTAAGGTCAAGGTCACAATTGAAGGTCAAATATCAAACAATCAAATATTACACAATATGTCGTGTCCGCTCTGTAAGTCCTACACGAATTGAAAGATTTTCTTCAAACTTGGCTCAAATGTTCATTTCAACAATGGGATGTGCAGAACCCATGTTGCCCATGTGTAAGCTCAAGGTCAAGGTCACAATTGAAGGTCAAATATCAAACAATCAAATATTACACAGTATGTCGTGTCCGCTCTGTAAGTCCTACACTTATTGAAAGATTTTCTTCAAACTTGGCTCAAATGTTCACCTCAACAAGGTTATGTGCAGAACCCATGTCACTCTTTTGCCGGCTTAAGGTCAAGGTCACACTTGAAGGTCAAAAATTGACTTAGAAAATGTTCTTTAATTTTAACATATATCTGAATATTTCTGAATCTAGGAAAGGTATTTGCTTGAAACTTAAAATATAAATGAAGTGTCACAATTAAGATATGCTGGTCAAGTTTCATAACACTGTATTGCATTTTAACATAGTTATGCCCCTTTTTAATCTTCAAATTTACATACAATCACATATTAGACAATATGTTGTGTCCGCTCTATAAATCCTATACTAATGGAAGAATTTTCTTCAAACTTTTCTCAAATGTTCACCTAAACAAGGTTATGTGCAGAATCCATGTCACCTTTGTGCAGGCTAAAGGTCAAGGTCAGACTTGAAGGTCAAAAATTGACTTAGAAAATGTTCTTAGATTAAAACATGTTCTCTTGAATATTTCGGAAACTAGCATAGGTATTTGCTTGAAACTTAAAAGATATATGAGGTGTCACAATTACGATATGCAGGTCAAGTTTCATAACTCTGTATTGGATTTTGACAAAGTTATGCCCCTTTTTAAGTCTTTAAATTTACATACAATCAATACTAGACAATATGTTGTGTCCGCTCTATAAATTCTATACTAATGGAAGGATTTTCTTCAAACTTTACTCAAATGTTCACTCCAATTGGGCGATGTGCAGTACCCATCTTACCCTTGTGCCAGCTGAAGGTCAAGGCCACACTTGAAGGTCAAAAATTGACTTATAAAAAGTTTAGTATATTGGGAAAATGAAAGGTTATTTGTAACTGTTTCGAACATGATTTGATAATAGATATTTTTACTATTACCTGTACAATTAGTCTTTTTTTCACCAGAGATAATTTCTTTTTATGTATTTGTGTCACTTAAGTTATTCCCTTAACCACCTTTCCAAATTGTCTTCTGTCAAGGACATTGGTGGGGGTATGAATCGCATTCAGCGATAGTTCTAGTTCAACCAGTTTACTTCCAAATTCAATTCAGGGCAAAAATCTGGAAAAATGATGATCCCTAAAAAGCATTAAAAAAACAACAAAATTACTTGAAAATTGCAGACTGGGTTTGATTGAGTCTGTACAGGAGGGATAATGGAAAAATGCAACATCCCTAACAACCCTAGCACCGGCTTGAGTGGCACTTAATTTTCAGCACTAAATGTGCATTACACAAACTGTAGGGGGATTAATGTTACATAAAATAATTAGGTTTAACATGTCCAATGAATGTGATAAGCCTACAGTATATAGTCAGGCCAGCCTTCAAATTTGTATTTTGTTGGCTTTTTAACTGTACAATTTTTTGAAATCCTTAAAACTAACAATGAATTATATCATATTCAAAGCTTGGGTGGTTCATTACACACATTAACTGAGGTAAAAGTAAAATGAGGAGGTTAAAAGTAAATATCATATATAAGTAGGCCTTTTGTATTAAGATATGTATTTTATATATTAATATGAATTGTTTTTCAGTTTGTTTCACAGCAAGCCAGATTCTGTTGTGGATATTTGTGTGAGATGTCACCCCAGTGTACATCCCCTAGATGTAATGTACATGTGTAGATACCATCAGGTTGCCATGGAAACAGTATTCAAACAATATATGGTCCTGGTGACCCTGAATGAAAACTCCTCTTTGAGGTAACCATCTGTTTTATACTAAGAGGAAATTGGGGTTGATTGGTTAAGGTTACAGTCTTTGAAGCACTTGCCCCTCACTGCTGAGTTTGAATCCTGCCAGGGACTTTAGATTTTTCATGGTAGGAAGTTCATTTCAGCTAGCTTATGGAAGATTTATGGTTCTACTCCGGTGCATTATTTAAATAATGACAGAGGGGCACCTGGGATCTTCCTACACCAGTTTCTTTGCAGTACATATGATAAAGGTGAAGTATTTTTAGTGAAATGTCTCTGTCTTTCCACATGTTTTAGTTATACGTTGTAAATACATGCTTGCAGTGCAGTCAGCAAATTATGACGTCATACAAGGTCGTTTTCTCAAATTCTTAGGTCAAACAAAAATGGCGTCAAAATAGATGACAATATATGTTTGTTTTCTTTTCTGTTTCAGGAAGCAAGTATTGATGGACATTGGTAATCATAAAGACACATGTGTTGTATTATTAGAAATGTTGTTATCTGAAGATAATGACACTTCTGCTGTGATGGATGAAAATGGATGTCCAAGGTAACTCTTACTTCTTTTCTAGTCATTAATAATAAATTTTTGATGACTTAAATTAGTGTGTGTGTAAGGTATAACTGACCCAAGACCTGTAATACAATACATAACTGTGTATGTGGTATATTTACAATAAAACATGTATAATATAATGACAACTATTTTCTTGCATGCATAGATACAAATTAATATGACACATGTGAATAAGGTGGTAGTACACACATTTGTGTTGTAATTGTGAAGACCACCTGCTGTGTAGGAAAGTTTGAATGATCAAAATACAAGCTATCTAGGTAGAACCATTTAAAATAAACATGGAAAACTGAATATTGAGTCAAAGAAATCACAGTTACTGGAATAATTAAGGTTCAACTCTTTGAAAGTTTAACTTAACTGTAACTTATGAAGGGCATATTTGTTTGTTTTAAGTGAATATGCTATATATCACTCTGAGAAATGAGAAAGTTACAATATTTCCCTAAGTATGTATATTTTCTCACTTCACAATATGAGTTAGGTACTGTAAGTGATTTAGTTTTATTTCAAGTATATAAATAGTATTTCACTACAAGACCTAAAATAAATTATTTTTAATGGGTCTGACATTGCATATGTTTTAGCAAGAAATGTTAAAGGGACTCTGAACTAAAGTGTTTTAATACAGTTGGCCAGGGTTTTTTAGCTTTTTACACATTTGATGTAGGTTTATTCGTCATTTTTCCAGAATTATCATTTTTATTGTGTCATTTTGACAATGATAAAAATAAAAGGCATTCAAATAAATTTATGAATCACACTTAATATCATAGTTGCATTTTGATATTTGTCAGATTTTCAAATTTAGACCTCAGTTGTGCCATGTTTTTATAAAATAGAATTTATTGTTTATAATGACAGGTGTATGGGTCACAGGGTGAAAAGAAAGAATGAAATTCTTATTGACCAGTTAATCAACAATATACAAGCTGCCAGAGATCAACAAATTGTGCTGGAAATCCTGAGAAAACATGGGTATATGACACTGTTGTTATCTCATATCAGGCTTAATGTTATATGAATATTATATTTTTATTAGGCCACATAACCTGTCACAGAATATCTAAACTCATGGCCTGTTGGATGCAGCAGATTTTACCAATGTGATGAGAGCAGACAAAGATCAGTGGACACTTCTGTCTCGTTTGACTATTGTCCGCATTGTACGCTATTCAGTCAGTTTATATTTTAAAATTTTCCCTAAAAATGATGAATGGCAAATCAAACTAAATCAAATTTAATAAATTGCTAGAAGGTGCTAATAAATGGCAATATTTGACAATAGCTGTAAAGTAGTCATTAGTCCTAAAACATATCTTGATACATAGAGATATTTCTGGAGGGTTTTATTTTTCATCCCCCCATCTTTCTCCTTTTAAAATGGTTTTATTTTTCATCCTCCCTTCTATTTATAAATAATCTTATGTTTGAGTGATAAATGATTAAATTTCTAATATTTTGTATGATTGAACTGTTTGCTGGGCTTCTTACACAAAACCTGAAATATGTTCTCATATTTAATAAAAAACCAATGTTCATTCACTTAATGACATGGCTCGACCTTTAATTTCAGATATTGGGTTGGCGTCTTGAAGCTACTGAAAAAGATTGGTCGTGGATCAGATCATTTAGATCTGGTATTACAGCTTGGAGATATTGACCTGTTGACAGGACACAATGAACTTGGTATGATAAAAGATTTGATGTCACAACGTTATTTATAAAATTACAGTGTATTATTGCCAGGGACATTTTGAAGAATCACAGGAATGTTCTGTAGAAGATGGATGTTTATTTTTCACTTTTATGAAAGAAAATGAACTGTTTTTCTGACAGCTGTTATTTATTTATTTTGTTTATTATTTTGTTCAGATGTGTTTAGGCAATAGATATTATTTTTGAGTGCATTGTTGAAGAATGCAGGGTTCAACTTTAAATGTGCAGTAATATATCACAAAGGCTGTGATAGGCTTGTGTGATAAGTTACAAAGCATCTGAGTGATAAACCATGCACTATTATACTATAACACAAGAACATTTGATATCTATTTGCATTTTTACAATGTTATTAAAATTGAAATTGATAAAATCATGTTAAAATTCATTTAGCAGAGAAGAAATTTTCCTGGCATCATTTGGTTTATTGAAGTCACATGACTTCAAAGCATTTCTTCTTTATGCAATACATATATGATGTAATAATTCACTCCACTGCCCTGTATGTTTATTAAGGGAATAGTGACAAGTTTGTTAAAATTTGTTAAGACGATTATTTGTCAATTATTTTTTAGGTTATGTGCCACTCTCAGTACCTGACTGGCAGAGAGTACTTGCTACTTACCAGCAGATAAATCAAGCAGGGAACCAGACATCACAGGAAGTAAGCTGTGATTGTTCAAAACTGATCACATGGAACAATCTGGCAATTCTATTGGTCAGAAATGTAGGTCCAGAGGAGGCTATTTCCCTGCTTGAAAAGCAAAACCTACTAGAGGGAGTTTTGTCAAAAGAGTTTTACCAAGTCTGTTTACTCTCTGGAATGGTGCAAAAACAACAAAGGTATGGCAAACATATAAACATTTGATTGTATTATTATTGAATATTCAGTTGATGATCAGCATTATTTTATAAACTCATTATGAATGTGTGGAATGTATATCATTTGTTTGGTTGATCATTCTGTGCAAGGGAGATAATTTAAACTTGTTAGTGCAAGGGAGATAATTTAAACTTATGTTAGCTTTACAAGATGATGTGTTGCATGAAACATGATTGTATAAAAATGAAGGTGATGGTATCTTTTGGAGATACACTTGTGGATCTTTTGGCACCTAGCTATAACACCATCAAGAGATATTATAAGTTATATATTAGTTACTTGTAATCATTATCACAAATGTGCCTTTTACCTTGTTTAAGAATGGGATTAAAAATACTACAAAATGAAGTCAAAGTTTCATATCAAACATTTTATGTGAGTATGAGAATCAACACATAATCGGTCACTTAAATAATTCATTGATAAAATAGAGTGAATAAAGATAAAGAGACTTTAAAGTAAATTTTACTTCCTTTGTTTAAACAGGAATAATTGGTGGGAAATGTTTAAATAGTTATTCTTTGCTGAACAAACAATATTGAATACTAAAAATGAAGGTTCATTCAACAATTTTAAATATCTTATATTAATAGGTCAGTGTTACATTCCATGTTGGAGAAGGTGGACAGCTATTTATGGTCATATAGACCTATTGTTGTAACACCACAGGTAAACTTTAAACTCATATTTTATGATAAATGCAAATTTAAATGATGGTCATATATCACATTATAATATCTATTGCTTCTATATTACCTTTTCATATTCTTCTGTTTGAACGGTTTTGTTTATGCACACCATTATTATTAAGATCTTACAGTAACTTTACAGATCCTTTGATATCAGTTCACAAAATGTTATTTGCACATCAGATGAGTAGAAATACTTACTTTCTAGCAATATAACTGCTTTACATCAAAGAATTTATGTATATTTTACACAATAATATATGTACAGTGATTAAAACTTAAAATGCATGTCTCTGATTAAATGCAATAAAGATTTTATTTTCCTTTTTTGAGCTATCATAATGCAAAATTATATTTTTCAAAGGTTAAATTTTGACTGTACTTTTGTTTACCAAACAAATTACTGTACATACTTGTTTTATTTCCGATGACTCATTTTCATAAATGTATATATATGTATATGCAATAAAATCATTTGTATTGTATTTTGACTATTTTTGTTGACAGGTGCAGTACCTGGCTGTTTCAGAGAAGAAAATGCACTCTGGAGAATCAACTGGTTCAAATACAGACTTACTTCATTCTATGGTATCTGTGTTTTACATTTACTCTATCCATTCATTTTATATCCTACTACTTTTTTATGCCACCGTAGCATCTGCTATGCGGTGGCATATAGCAATTCACCTCTGTGTGTTGGTGTGTTGGTGGATGTGTGTTTGTGTGTGTGTTTGTATTTCTGTTCTATATAAACAAACTCTTCTAGTGAAAACCCATAGTCCAATTTCAATCAAACTTGGCAGGATTGAATCTGGGTAAAGGGCATCCAAAGTTGTTCAAAGATTTTCATTTCATGCAGAAATCTGGTTGCCATGGCAACCAAAAGGAATTATAAAAATAAATTAAAAAAATCTTCTTGTAAAGACCCAAAAGGCCTAGAGCTTAGATATTTTGCATAAGGCATTGTCTGGTAAACCTCTACCAAGATTGTTCAAATTATAGCCCTGGGGTCAAAATCTGCCCCGCCTCGGGGGTCATTGATTTTCACTATATGTAAATATAGTAAAAACTTAAAATACCTTCTTGTAAAGACCCAAAAGGCCCAGAGCTTAGATATTTTGCATAAGGCATTGTCTGGTAGACCCTTACCAAGATTGTTCAAATTATAGCCCTGGGGTCAAAATCGGCCCCGCCCCGGGGGTCATTGATTTTCACTATATGTACATATAGTAAAAACTTAAAATACCTTCTTGTAAAGACCCAAAAGGTTTAGGGTCATTGGTTTTCCTTAAATGTATATAGTAAAAACTTATAGTAAAAACTTTAAAACAATTTCTTCTAGCAATTGACAAATGCTAGAGGTTAGATATTTGGCATGAAACATTGTGAAGTGAACTTCTAGCAAGATTGTTCAAATTATAGCCCTGGGTTTAAAATTGCCACCGCCCCGGGGGTCATTGATTTTCAAAATATACATATAGTAAATAAAATAAAAAAAATCTTATTGTCTGAAGGTACAAGGTCTAGAGCTTTAATATTTGTTAAATGATATCATCTATAGGTACACTACCAAAGTTATTCAAATTTTGCCTCTAGTGTCAAAATTAGCCCCGCCCTAGGGGCCATAGGTTTTCCTTATATGTATATAGTAAAAACTTAAAAAATCATCTTCTCTAAATTTACAAAGGCTAGAGTTAAGATATTTTGCATGAAACATTATGTAGTGAACCTCTAGCAAGATTGTACAAATTATAGCCCTGGGGTCAAAATTGGCCCCATCCCCAGGGGTCATTGATTTTCACTATGTACATATAGTAAAAAATTAAAAAATCTTCTTGTCTGAAGGTAAAAGGCTAAGAGCTTTGATATTTGGTATATAATATTATCTATTGGTCCTCTACTAAAGTTGTTTTAATTATGCCCCTAGTGTTAAAATTGCACTGCCCCAGAGGCGATAGTTTTCCTTATATGTATAAAGTAAAAACTTGAAAAATCCTCTTCTCTGAATTGACAAAGGCTAGAGGTTAAATATATGGCATGAGACTTTGTGAAGTGAACCTTTACCAAGATTGTTCAAATTATAGCCCTGGGTTCAAAATTGGTTCCGCCCCGGGGGTCACTAATTTTCATTATGTACATATAGTAAAAAAATAAAAAATATTTTTGTCTGAAGGTACAAGGCATAGAGCTTTGATGTTTGCTATATTATATATATCATCTATAGGTCCTCTACCAAAGTTGTTCAAATTTTTCCCCTGGTGTTAAAATTGGCCCTGCCCGGGGGCAGTGATTCTCATTATGTACACATAGTAAAAACAGAAAATAAAACAAATGTTTTCTGAATGGGAGAAAGCTACAGCTTAGATATTTGACTTGAAATGTTGTTTGGTGGACCTGTATCAAGATTGTTTTGAATTAAACCCTTGGGTCCAAAATTTTGCCATGCCCAAGTGGTCAGTGACCTACTTTCTTGTCCTTTGATGTACAGCAATGAAATTTTGACCATGTGCACAGTTTTAGTTGTAAAATTGAATTTTGATATCAGGTGACCTTGATTTTGATGATGTGACCTACTTTCTTGTCCTTTGATGTACAGCTATGAAATTTGAACCATGTGCACAGATTAAGATGTAAAGTGAACTTTGATATCAGCTGACCTAGATTTTGACAAAGTGTCTTACTGTGTTGTCCTTTGATGTAGTCATGAAATTTAGGCTGTGTGAAATATGACCTTCACCACCAAATTCACTAGACTCGAGTGCATTGATATATTCCTACTCTGATCTTTTATTGAGTTAACAACAGATTTAACCACTAATCTGATACGAATTAGATAGGTCAGGGATCTATGCATTATGACAATCTTCAAAATTGTATAGAAACAAAAAAAATCTGTTCCTACACTACTATTTAGTGTTGTATTAATGCGGTGGCATAGCATTTTTCTCAAATGCAATCTTGTTTTTTGTTAGCTTGACTTTTTCAAAGTCATGTCCATTGCTGTTGCCTTTGCTGTCCAAAGACAGGTAACATTGGACATTTTTTTTAAATTTCTAAATAGATTGTCTTCATACTTGGACACAACCCCTTTGGAAAAGAAAAGGCCTTCCAGTAGAAAAGAATGACCTTGATATTGACTTATAATTGACCTTGACTTTGTGAATTATTACACTTGTCATGCATAATTAAACTTTCACTTGGATAGTTTTTCAATAAAAACCAAGATTTGAACAAACAGTAACAGGAAAGCAATTCCTGGCCAGCATGTTTATAATTTGTCATAGATTAATATCAAACTAATGTGAGGTGCTGATCATCTAGATATTTACAATGACAATAATTCTTGAAAAAGGGATTATTTATACATGTATAGTTTATGTATATGTTATGTTATATAAATATTTTTTATAGGCAAACAGTATTAAAGAAAAAGAGGTGTCGGAAACATCTGTGGAAGATCCAGAATGTCACTGGGGCATTGAAAATAAGATTAATTTGTAAGTGATATTTTATACTTTTATCTGTTTGTTTGTTGTTGTTGTTTTTTGTTTGGGTTTTACTTCGCACCAACACAGTATTTGTAATATGGCAATCTTCCAGCTTTACTGGTGGAAGAAGACCTCTGGTACACCTTCATTATTTCAGGCACTATCAGGCACCAAAGTAGGAACACTAACATTCTGTAAGCTAGCTGGATAGCTTCCTCACATGGTAGAATCCAAAGTACTTGTTTGAATTCTAACTCACAATAGTGAGGGGCAAGTGGTTTGAAGCCAATGACCTTTACCACTCGGCTATGAAGCCCCATTATTAGATACAGAAAATTAGTATTCCGAGTAACCCAAGTTTCATTCATAAAAAGTTGAGGAATATTTAGAGTTTGAGTAAGAAATTGCTAATCAAATATTTTATAGATAATTATGTGGATATTGGTTCAAACAGTTAATGCATGATTGAACAATTTTGTTGCGGTGCCGTTGAAGTTATGGAGAATCATAAAATAGGACCTAATTTTGACACAATTACTGCTGTTTCTTATTAAGGTTGCTTATGTAAGGTCATTGGTGCCTGTTTGTTGCCTACATAATGCACACAAAAAGGGGACATCTGAGGTCTTCCTCTATCAGAAAACATCTGAAAGCTGTAAAATTGCATATCACTTTTCCTGTGTTGGTGTGACTTAAAGTCCAACAAAACAAACAAATACTTATGCTTTGGCATAATAAATTAACATATTTTTAATCAGGAATGAAGTGCCAAGCGCTATTAGCCCTTCAAATTATTGTGGTATGTCTTCACTATCAATAGAAAAAAAACCTTATCTAATCTGATATGTTTACAAGAAGATATGAAATAAACATTTTCTATATTGATATGTTTACAGGTTATTTATGTATATATGGTCAGTGTCTATACAGACAAATACTAACATGGTGCTTCATGATAAAGCTTTTGTTGATTTTCTTGTTGATATTTTTGGTAAATTTTATAAATCTACAAAGCAGATTTGTTTATGAAATAAATATTTTCTATATTGATATGTTTACAGGTTATGTCCATGTTGTTATATCTCCTTGAAAGAGACTGTCTCACATGAGGAACCTGGGGTTCTCATATTTAAATGTGGTAAGATATAAATAATATTGTAATAAAATAAAGTATAGTTCTGCTTGTATACTATGCTTTATGGAATTGTTTTCCTATGTCATTACTGGCATGCAAGTAGTTCCCATACAAAAGCAGTACATGTATTTTTCATATAAACTTGCATCTTTTGAAAATTGTTACCAAATTACACAGATGTGTGAACTAGACAAAATCTTAAGTGTCAGCATTAGGCATTAGGTACACAAAGTTTTCATTTTAAATCACTGTAACCTGTCTTGTAAAAACATGAACTTAAAAATATTGGGGGCCTCCATCCTTGCTCGCATGCACAATAATACCGCCATATCAGGCTTGTAAAAGGGTTTTTCAGTAATACCACCTGTGTATAGATAAATTGACAAGACATTCAATATCAGAATTTTGCCCTTTATTACCATAGCAAATAACGTTATGGCTTTAATGAGTAAAATATCATGCTTATAAAATTTCACTGCATGTGTCACACAGGGTCAGTGTTTAGTCTACGCTGTATTTCCTGATGGTATTTCCATATTGTTAACTCGGTTTTCTTAATTATTGTATTAAATTACAATAAGTCTGATATTGAAAAAATAATTATTATTTTTAAAATCATTTTGATCTATATTTATTTACACTAAATGTCATACTGAGGGAACTGCCTTAACAGATATTACATCATTTTTGTATGTTTTTAATTTTCATTTTGATTAAGATATTAAAGTCAAAAATAGTAAATGTTTTGTCTTGATATTTACATAATTAACATATTGATATCCCTGTTTAACTTAAAACAAACTACATTATATTTTGCATTATGAATTAGGTTGTCTTTTGGATTTTTTTTGCATTATGAATTAGGTTGTCTTTTGGATTTTTTTGCATTATGAATTAGGTTGTCTTTTGGATTTTTTTTGCATTATGAATTAGGTTGTCTTTTGGATTTTTTTTGCATTATGAATTAGGTTGTCTTTTGGATTTTTTTTGCATTATGAATTAGGTTGTCTTTTGGATTTTTTTTGCATTATGAATTAGGTTGTCTTTTGGATTTTTTTTGCATTATGAATTAGGTTGTCTTTTGGATTTTTTTTGCATTATGAATTTAAGTTGTCTTTTGGATTTTTTTTGCTTCTCAGGACGTATGCTGCTTTAAGCATTCAGATTTTATAAATTTATTGGTTGTTTAAGAAATAATTATTAACATCAAAGTCTGTTTTTGTTTTAAACATAGGACATGGATTCCACAAGTTATGTTTACCAAAGAAGGAATGTATGGTATGTGATGGTGTAACAAAAACAAAGACAGTTGAAAAAGCTTTCTATATTTAAGCTGGGACAAAATATAACGAGACACGCAATTATGTTGGTGACCAAGTAATTGGACAGTCATTCATTTGATTAGCATTAGTAATAATAATACCATTATTACAAAAGCAATTCATTGATAAATTTTCACATTATGTTAAGACCAATATATAAAAAGGAGTGTTAATTTTAAACATCATTTTGGCTTATACACATATTTCTCTTACTTTAAGTATTTACTTAGGATAAAAAAACAAACAATTGACAATGATCAACGTGACAAAACGGCAGTGTCTGTTCCTGATTAGACAAGAAATATACATTGAGCTTATCTCCAAATGCTTGTCTTGTAATAATGTTTCCCTGATTTAAATCAGATTTAAGCAAATTATTTGTTATTTTTATTATTATGATTGTTTAAATATTGTGGAATATTTTGTAAAGATAAATTTTACTGGCATTTAAAGGTTAGTGGATTTTACAAGCAGTTGTCCTGTTGTCATTTTGACCTTGCTCCACTAGTTTATAATTATATAGCAGAATAAAAAAGCCAAAAATTTAATAAGCTGGTAAATGTATTTCTTAGAGTAATTATGTGTATATTTATTTGCTCATTAGATACTGGCATTTCAGGGACTTGTTGCAGCATATACATAACTTGATTCTTGTAAGCAAGGGTGATAACTGACCAATTACCCACAGTCAAACTAAATTCTAGACTTTAACATATACCTCTTGAATATGTGTAGTGGATTTGCCTTGTTTTGACTTTAGAACAATACATTCAAATTTATATGGATACAAAAGATTATCGACAACAGTATAAGGTCTAGTCACACTGGCCTGATATACAGGCTGGCCTGGCTCCATACTGGTGACACAAGCTAATCACTTATAGGTTCAAGCACGGTAAGGTTTATTAAAGCAGGGCATGCTGATTATACAAATGTTTCTTTCATGGTAAAGTTTTGATTTTCAATGTACATTCTATCAACGTCTAGCCTTTGGTTAGGTTTTAGGTTGATGGGTCAAATGTCAGATTCTCTGAGACTGAAAAAAAATACATGTATTTTTCTTCCATTTTTCTCAGTTTTGGCAATATTTTTCTTAGCTGTGTCATTGTGGGGTCAGGGATATATTAAGGTATTCTGATTCTCTTGTTTATAACTGATTTACATGAATATTATTGTATATATGGTCCGTGTCTATACAGACAAATACTAACATGGTGCTTCATGATAAAGCTTTTGTTGATTTTCTTGTTGATATTTTTGGTCAATTTTATAAATCTACAAAGCAGATTTGTTTATGACTGCAACTACTACTAGTATTTTTCTTTTTAAAGAATTCTTGTTTGATTGCATATAATTATGAGAACTTAATTTATTGACCTTGATAAAATCATTTTCTTAAATTAAAAGTTACATTGGATTTGAATTAGGCTGTGTTGATTCATGAACTATATCCAAAGTTTATTGTTATTGTTCATTTTCTGTTACTACATGTATTTTATAGTGTTTATCCAAGTTGTTGTGTTTTTATTGTTGAATTGTTAATTTAGTTTGTTGAATGATAAAACTTATTCAAAAACTGTTATAATGGTGCTGGTAATAAGTCAATTTCTTCCAATCTTGTAACTTTATATGAATGAAAAGAAGTGGTTATATCTAGGATATCACATAGGTTGTCATATATTATAATGTTGCATGTTTGTTACATAAATTCTCATTGGATAATCCCGACTTTTACATTGTAACAGGGCTACTGTAATTTTTTCTGTATTATGAATTTGTTATAAAGTTTTTTTATGATCTGTATAAATGATAGTTTGTTATATAACTTCACCTTGCAGCTAGGATAAACAACTGACAATAAAAAATACAAGTCATCAATTACACTTTCTTTATTTGAGATCAATTCAATCACATATTAAATAACCAATATTAATTGATATTTTCTAAATGAAATTTCGCTCGTTTTGTCTTACAAATAAAGGTCGCTGAGGAACTTATCTTGATGTTCCATCTTTTTAAAGTATTATTTTCCTTTTTCATTTCATGTGTCAAGAACAAAGAACTATAGTCTTTACTACAGTGTATAAAATTATGTTTCATGTATATCAAACTTGGCATCATGCATTTATAAAAAATTATATGCATAATAATATTGTCATTGTTTAAGTAGGTTTTCAGTTTGTCTACAGTGTGTTCAGTAATATACAGTCCTCTAGCATACATCCTGCTGTAATCAGTTATATGTAGTTAACATACATATTACATGTATAAACAGTTATATGTAGTTAATATACATATTACATGTATAAACAGAGATGGAATTTTAGTCATACTAACAAGTCATTAAAAAACATTTTTTCCATATGAAAATGTTTGAAATCTTCCGGGAAGTATTTGGCAGTAAATGTAAATTATAAGTAAACATATTACAATTATGATTACAACAAGCACTAAATAGTGATGTAGTTTGTTTATAACCATTTATAAGGAACACTAAAGTAAATGCATTGTGTTCATAACTAATCATTTGGAATACATGGGGAAATTCATGGTACACATGGAAAATGCAAACATGTTCAGAACCAGTAACTATGGACATTTAAAGGAAATGTAGTATGTTCTTCATACACTAGGTAATACAGTGTATTCATAACTATTCATTGGGAAAAAATGAAAGAAATGCATTGTGTTTGTAACCAGTAATTTAGAATAATGATACAGAGGAAAGTGTTATTAAATCTTATTAATCGATTTTTTTCTTCAACATTTTGATTTAAAAAAGTGAACAATGTATCAACAAGATTTTTACTAGAATAATTCCGTTATTTTTTTGATAGACCAAAATATTTGCCTTAACCATTGAAATTTCTTGTTGTATAATACTAACATAGTATTTTAATCAGTAGGGTGTCATGGAATTAATATTTTGTTGTAAATCAATATAGTATTCAAAGAGGATTTAGACATTTTTTTCTCATGAACATTGACTTATATTTATTTAGGGTTTAAGAAGTACATTGTACAAATGGAGGATTCAAACATTTAGTTCAATCAACATTTGCTGTAGTTCCTACTCATGGAGGGTTCAACTTAGCGTTTTTGTTACACATTTTCTAATTAAGTCATTTGTTTTTTCAGTGCTGCAGTAAGCTCTTCATAATTTACATGTATTTATATTCTCAATTTAACCTTCATTGTTATTTATTAGTGTATGTTAATTTGCTCATTGATTGCTCAATCATTAGATTACTTCAATTGTTTTCAATGCTAAATGTATATAAAGTATATATCATGTGATAATTTAACATTATTATAGAAATAAATGTGCAATAAAGTAATAAATAACAAATCTGAAATTATTTTTTATACTTTATTTGTATCACTTTCATTTTATACTGAAACATATCATTGAATATATCACAAACTATTATATATTTTTTCCAATGTATCCTTGAAAAATTACATTTACAACCTTGACATCGTACCTCATCCACTTGTATGGAAAATCTAGGTAAAGAAGCTTAGTATGACACAATCTCTAAACTTTTCTTTATGTAAAACAATGCTGACAATTTTTTTCAGACATAATCTTTTATAACACAAACATCATCTTCCAAGCCATTATTGCTCAGTAGGAGTAAAGAGAAACCAATGTTTCAGAAAATTAATTCAGCACAATGGTATCTACTTTCCTACAAGACACCATCATCTTTAAAACAGGGTCTTATTTTTTAGACTGCCACTATACTCCACTCATCACTGTATTTATCATCAAAGCTTCTATATATACCTAGCCAGGGGCTATAACTGCACCCATAATATCACAGATTCCTTTTGTAAACATGTCAAGGGCTTTAACTGTACCCTTATGGTCTCATGTTGTATTGTATCCATGTGCAAGAGGCTACAACTGTGTAGACTTGTCTTTTGTTAAAATTTGCAAAGTCTTTTCAGTTATGTTTCTGGAATGGAAAAAACAAGGATATCAGTATCTTACCATTCTAGGGGATGGTTTGTTTTGAAAAGTGCTTTATAAATGGAATTGTAAAAAAATCTTGAGAAAGAACAGCAAACAGTAAGATATCCAATTTTAATAAGAAAGGTTTCTTTATATGTAAAAACAGTTTATCCTATTTAGATGTTCTTTTTCTGTTTAAATTTGAGACCCATCAACACTAGAAAGGTCATTTTGCTATTTTTCACTTTTCTAGCTGAGGAAGGCTTAAGATTTGCAAATGTAGAACAAGAACTGTTGATATTTTATAAGAAGCTACAAAACTCATGGCAAAATACAGGAGGATACAAATCTCATGGTAAACATAGGAATGTTGGTATTATATAAGAAACTACAAACCTCATGGCAAATGTAGGAATGTTGGTATTATATAAGAAACTACAAACCTCACGGCAAATGTAGGAATGTTGGTATTATATAAGAAACTACAAACCTCATGGCAAATGTAGGAATGTCGGTATTATATAAGAAACTACAAACCTCATGGCAAATGTAGGAATGTTGGTATTATATAAGAAACTACAAACCTCACGGCAAATGTAGGAATGTCGGTATTATATAAGAAACTACAAACATCATGGCAAATGTAGGAATGTCGGTATTATATAAGAAAACTACAAACCTCATGGCAAATGTAGGAATGTTGGTATTATATAAGAAACTACAAACCTCATGGCAAATGTAGGAATTTTGGTATTATTTAAGAAACTACAAACCTCATGGCAAATGTAGGAATGTTGGTATTATATAAGAAACTACAAACCTCATGGCAAATGTAGGAATGTTGGTATTATATAAGAAACTACAAACCTCATGGCAAATGTAGGAATGTTGGTATTATATAAGAAACTACAAACCTCATGGCAAATGTAGGAATGTTGGTATTATATAAGAAACTACAAACCTCTTGGCAAATGTAGGAATGTTGGTATCATATAAGAAACTACAAACCTCATGGCAAATGTAGGAATGTTGGTATCATATAAGAAACTACAAACCTCATGGCAAATGTAGGTATCATATAAGAAACTACAAACCTCATGGCAAATGTAGGAATATTGGTATCATATAAGAAACTACAAACCTCATGGCAAATGTAGGAATGTTGGTATCATATAAGAACTACAAACCTCATGGCAAATGTAGGAATGTTGGTATCATATAAGAAACTACAAACCTCATGGCAAATGTAGGAATGTCGGTATTATATAAGAAACTACAAACATCATGGCAAATGTAGGAATGTTGGTATTATATAAGAAAAACTACAAACCTCACGGCAAATGTAGGAATGTTGGTATTATATAAGAAACTACAAACCTCATGGCAAATGTAGGAATGTCGGTATTATATAAGAAACTACAAACATCATGGCAAATGTAGGAATGTTGGTATTATATAAGAAACTACAAACCTCACGGCAAATGTAGGAATGTCGGTATTATATAAGAAACTACAAACATCATGGCAAATGTAGGAATGTCGGTATTATATAAGAAACTACAAACCTCATGGCAAATGTAGGAATGTTGGTATTATATAAGAAACTACAAACCTCATGGCAAATGTAGGAATTTTGGTATTATTTAAGAAACTACAAACCTCATGGCAAATGTAGGAATGTTGGTATTATATAAGAAACTACAAACCTCATGGCAAATGTAGGAATGTTGGTATTATATAAGAAACTACAAACCTCATGGCAAATGTAGGAATGTTGGTATTATATAAGAAACTACAAAACCTCATGGCAAATGTAGGAATGTTGGTATTATATAAGAAACTACAAACCTCTTGGCAAATGTAGGAATGTTGGTATCATATAAGAAACTACAAACCTCATGGCAAATGTAGGAATGTTGGTATCATATAAGAAACTACAAACCTCATGGCAAATGTAGGTATCATATAAGAAACTACAAACCTCATGGCAAATGTAGGAATGTTGGTATCATATAAGAAACTACAAACCTCATGGCAAATGTAGGAATGTTGGTATCATATAAGAAACTACAAACCTCATGGCAAATGTAGGAATGTTGGTATTATATAAGAAACTACAAACCTCATGGCAAATGTAGGAATGTTGGTATTATATAAGAAACTACAAACCTCATGGCAAATGTAGGAATGTTGGTATTATATAAGAAACTACAAACCTCATGGCAAATGTTGGTATTATATAAGAAACTACAAACGTCATGGCAAATGTAGGAATGTTGGTATTATATAAGAAACTACAAACCTCATGGCAAATGTAGGAATGTTGGTATTATATAAGGCATATATCTGGTATGGAGGTGACAACATGGCATAACATTTATGAGTATCTGTTGTCATATATGTATCCATAGCTGAATGAGTGAAGTCTGATGGACCTGTAAAATATGAATGGAGTATATCTGTAACATGATTAAACGGTGATGTGATGTAATTCTTATGCTTGAAAATAAGAACATTTCTTGTTAAGGAAGGAAACCTTTTAAAGCAAGACTAGAGATAATAATTTTAAAAAATGTTTTAAGTTTTTGGATTCCATTTAATTTTTGGATATTATTTTCATAAAGGACAGAATCTTCTAAATAAATTGCACCACCCCACCCAAAATAAAAAAAACAAAACAATGAACTTTTTAATTAAAAAATCATGCCAGATAGGAATTTAGTTTTAGAACAGTGGACTTCCTGTCCAATCTCTATCACTGAGTAATATGTTTATAAAATTCTTTTAATATTTTTCAAGATATTCCCCAAACAAGCAGAACTATCCATCATAAAGGGAGATAATTAAAATACTAATGGTTTTTTGATAGTGCACTTTCTCTCACCTGATGGTATCACTATGTTGAATTACAATGAGATGTTTGCAGTGTAGACATTATACCCAAGCCAAGCATTATTAAACATTTTTGACTATCATAAAAAGGATATTGTTAAAAAGTCAAGCAATATAGAATTATGGCTTTTGTATACTGCAATTCCTCATACTAATCTCTATCACAGTTTTAATGTAATTCCTACAATATTTATCAATTTATTCTCTGAACAAGCATTATTACATATTATAAAGGGACATGTAGAGTACAGATCTTATACACTGCACTTCCTCTTACTTGTCTCTATAACTGTCTTAAGTTTCAAGGCCAAATTATTTACAGTCTGGACAATCATTTGGAAAGTTTCCTCACATGAAAGAAACCAAAGTCCCTGTCCGGATTCAAACCCAAAGCAGTGAGAGCAACTGGTTTTTGAAGTCACAGACACCCCTACCCCCATTTGATGTAAGTCCAGACCAGTAACTTGTGTGAAAATTTTCAGATCATTTGCTCAGTCAGTTTCAGAACAATAATTTTTCTAAGTGTGAAAAATGACACAAAATTGAAAAGCGTTGCAAACTAGGCTAAGAATAGCACACAAAAAATACCATTTTCAATTTATTTCTGCTTATAATTATTAATTATCTTTTGCATATACTTCTGTTTTAAGTGCCACAGTACTTTGTAAGAAATTCAAATTTAATGTTTTAAGCTTTTGAACCTCAGTGAAGTTCTTTTAAAGCAAGTAAGATTAAAAAATTAAGCCACATAGTATTATATTTCCTAACACTGTACTTCCTCTAGTAGTCTCTTTCAATTCATTTTTCAAGTTATTCTCTGGACAAGAATGTGACAGACGGACAGAAAGACAGACAAGGGGGAGATGATATGCTCTCCCTTCATGGATAATAAATAACAACTAACTCTACAGGGACTTCCCAGATAATGGATAACCAGAAATTTGACAGTAAATAAACTGCAGAAAAAAGTCTGTAATGTTCTCTATCATTCAAAGTGTTAAATTAATCAAAATCTTTTTCATAAAAGGAAATATAATGATAAATATATTGCAGAATTAGCCAACCTTTTCCACTGCCCTCAATCTTTGAGGCAAAGAAATTTCCTACAACATGTTTGTAGTATGATCTTAAAATATGTCTCTTCTCATGTACTTCCAGGACTTCATCTGTAATTATATAACAGTAAAAATACAACTACACCAGAATTGAAAAGTGTAAGGAGAAAGAAACAAACTTTTGCTATTACTAGGAATACATAAACAGAATATTTTTGGCACATAGTCTGTTTAACATAATTGTTTGTTTATTTTTCTAACTTTTACACTGATTTTAAAACAATCTTTTCATCTTCTCAGCAGTACAGCCACTTAACAAGCTCTCATGGATAACCAACCAGTAATAACAAATTTCTCTGCAAGTGACTATCTACTAATCGGCAGCAAAGAACAAATAACGGTATTTAATCAATCACAGAACGATTACACTATTATTATTACTATTACAGAATCAATGTCAAGAAAACGTGGGGGCAAAGATTTTATATGAACTTTAAAAATAACAAATCAGCCTTGGTCTTGAGTCTCAATGTAGAATCAAATGATTCTCAAAAATATTTGTTAAAAGTTTTCTTTATTTTTGCTCAGTTCCTTAAGAATTCAGAAGTGTAAGGCTACCTAGAACTACCACCTGCAATTACAGTCAAGAAAAATATAGTATTCAGACAATCTACAGACTTATACTTAAAACTTTAATAGAGATTTGAATAAACAATTATTGATTAGCAAATATACAGCAATTGTAAACAAACCATCTGTTGAGGGTGGATGTACAGAACACAAACATCTATTGGTTTCCACATTCACTAGCAGAAATCTGTAAATATAACAATACATTTCATGCTGATTTACAACCTTATTGAAAAATAAAAACCGCTATAATGTGCCGTGATTTAGCGCAAGTAGCACACTGGCAGTAACAAAAGTTATCACAAGAACTCTAGGACATCTTCAGAGTTATCACAAGAACTCCAGGACATTTGAAAAATCGGGCATAAATTTGTTAGCCGGGGCTTTATGTTTGCAACTTTGCATTATAATTAGGTAATTATGTATGGCAAGGATGAAGATCACAAATGAACAGGTCAATATGTGCGAATTAGCAAATAATTTGGAAATTTTACACAAAACTACCAGATTTTAAACAAGAGGCGCTGAAAAATGGACTATAAGTTGTATTTGACTCATAATACAAGATGTAAGGCAAGCTTAATCATTAAAGTTTAATTTAGCACCTAAATCTCATTTTTTTAAGATGAAAATGGCCATTTTTGACGAGTGTTTCTGTAGTATATACAAAAGTTTTCCGACGTATTTACAAAAGGTTTCCAACAAATTCTGTGACAGTTATCACAAGAACGCCAGACAAGTTATCACAAGAACTCCATATAACAGTTCCTCCCTCATGATAATTTCTGTAAATCATTATTTTTTCCTCCATAAAATTAACATAACTTTGTTTTGTGCCTAGGTTTACTGTGCTTAGCAATCAGTTTATATTTACAACCATATTTAGCAACAAATTGATTAGGATAAACCACTATTAATGAAATTTGTCATAAAAAATGCAAACAAACAAAATTTAACAAATAATTGTTTTAATACAATTTGTACATTAATTCTGAATGAGGAACTTGAAACCGATTCACCTAAGTTTATTACAACTGAGTGTCAACATTATTTGAGACGATGGCTGTAACATTATTCCCAAGTTTCCAGTTTTAATGGGAAACAATGCTGATAATGTCATTACAGTGAATTGGTAATTTTATACCTTTATATGTAGATTTCCATGATAAAAGTCAGCGTTTCTGACATAATTACTTATGATGTATTTCAACAATCAACAGCATGTCTATTTCAAATGAAAGGTTGCATGATAAATGGTTTAAAACAATCATAAGTCTACTGTTGAACTTTGGACATGAAACCCAATGTGAAAAAATATTTTGGGTACCTGCCATGTTTTTCCTATATGACAGGTTTAGCTTAAACATGAATATGACACAAGTTTTCTGCTTTTAGGAACTTATGCAGTATTGGTGTCAACTAGGAAACAATACTGATGTCAACTAGGAAACAGTACTGGTGTCAACTAGGAAACAGTACTGGTGTCAACTAGGAAACAGTACTGGTATCAACTAGGAAACAGTACTGGTGTCAACTAGGAAACAGTACTGATGTCAACTAGAAAACAGTACTGATGTCAACTAGGTCAACTAGGAAACAGTACTGGTGTCAACTAGGAAACAGTACTGATGTCAACTAGGAAACAGTACTGGTGTCAACTAGAAACAGTACTGATGTCAACTAGGAAACAGTACTGATGCCTGGGGGTCCGTAAGGTCGTTGACTTCAAACAACTTGCCCCTCACCGCTGTGGGTTCGAATCCCGACAGGGACTTTGGATTCTTTCATGTGAGGAAGCTATCCAGCTAGCTTACGGAACGTCGGTGGTTCTACTCGGGTGCCCGTTCGTGCCTGAAATAATGCACAGAAGGGCACCTGAGGTCTTCCTCCACAAGTAAAAGTTGGAACGTCGCGGTATGGCCTATACTGTGTTGATGTGACGTAAAACCCAAACAAACAAACAAGTACTGATGTCAACTAGGAAACAGTACTGGTGTCAACTAGGAAACAGTACCGTGTCAACTAGGAAACAGTACTGATGTCAACTAGGAAACAGTACTGATGTCAACTAGGAAACAGTACTGGTGTCAACTAGGAAACAGTACTCATGTCAACTAGGAAACAGTACTGATGCCTGGGGGTCCGTGGCCGAGTGGTTAAGGTCGTTGACTTTAAACAACTTGCCCCTCACCGCTGTGGGTTCGAATCCCGACAGGGACTTTGGATTCTTTCATGTGAGGAAGCTATCCAGCTAGCTTACGGAATGTCGGTGGTTCTACTCGGGTGCCCGTTCGTGCCTGAAATAATGCACGGAAGGGCACCTGAGGTCTTCCTCCACCAGTAAAGCTGGAACGTCGCGATATGACCTATACTGTGTCGATGTGACGTAAAACCCAAACAAACAAACAAGTACTGATGTCAACTAGGAAACAGTACTGGTGTCAACTAGGAAACAGTACTGGTGTCAACTAGGAAACAGTACTGATGTCAACTAGGAAACAGTACTGATGTCAACTAGGAAACAGTACTGGTGTCAACTAGGAAACAGTACTCATGTCAACTAGAAAACAGTACTGATGTCAACTAGGAAACAATACTGGTGTCAATTAGGAAACAGTACTGGTGTCAATTAGAGGGACAAATAAGGCAAAAACAGAAACAATTTCCCCTCCCACTTATAAAATAGGTGTTAAAATGTGCTATTTACCCTAACAGGTTTGAATCTAGTACTGTATTAGACGGAACATTGGACGGATGGTTCTGTAATACTGCTCTCAGAGATTCGTAACTTGTACGCCAAAATCTGCCAACCTAGAAATCATAAACATAATTAGCATGATATTAACAGTTTTAACTGATTCCACAATAAAATAAACAAGAGCTGTCAGAGGAGACTTCAATAATGTACTGGATGCTGTATAGCTGAAACTACGGAAACTTAGCAAGAATAATGCCCTTTTTTTTAAATCCTATGCTTGTGTAAAGTTTCATTCAGTATAAGTCTTCAAAAAATAAAGTTGCACAAAAATTACATGTTACTCCACAACTTGTGAAAGGTGAGTAGAACAGCTTCCCCTACTCAAGTATTGAATAGTTGAGCTAAAACACTTCCACTAATGTGTTAAGACAAATGTCTTTAGATTTCCTTATTATAACTGACAGCTAATTTTAAAGAATGTGTACAGGTCTTGTTGCATGGATTGATCTGAAAGTAAGGAGGCACTAGAATAATTTGACAAGCAACAATGGTAGATGGAAGCTGGTTGATTGATGAAATATTAGTATTTGTAATGTATAATACCAGGTCAAACCAGCATCACAGAAAAAAACAGGCTCTCTTAATGGAATTAGTAATATGACACACAAACAATTACTAAAATAAGATTTGAAGAAAAAAAATTTAGTCTAAATAAAAAATGTACGTAAGAAATGTGGCAGGTTTTACAATGACATTACAAATTATAAAAAACACATACTTTATATTTTATAATTTTAAAACTTCAATTTTTGACAGGAAAACTCGTACTAAATGTAAACTATAATTTTTTCATATCAAAATTAAATGTTATGTAAAACCCTTGGTTTGTTTATACATAGGTAAATTAAGTAATTATTTTATCTTAGCAATTTGAATCTTTTATTAATATTACTGAACCAACAGTATAAAGTCAGGTTTTCTGTGTTGCCACCTCTGGCAAATCACCTTTGTTTACAGCTAATTAAACCTAATTATTAGACGTATATCTAGTCAGACCTGAGCTTGCACATCCTTGCATTCTGTGACCAGATTATACGTTATTAGAGTATACCAGTGCCTCATATTTCTGTGGTACTGTGCAACACAGACAACAAAAGTTAGAAGAATAAAATTCAGGAAAATATGTTGAATATTGTAGCAAAGACATGTAAATTACATCAAACTTTATTCCATTTAACATTTGCATGTAAGCTATTATGTACACAACCTATCTGCTGCCTAGTGAGTAAAGTTGTGTTCGCAATTACATTTGAACAGTTTCAAAAGCCAAACCAACAGTAATTATTTTTTAGTACATCTATACCTAGCACCATCGGAAAGTGGGGATTTTCTCTATTGCATTTATCAAATATCTCAATGGTTGTTTAACAAAAGCAATTGTCTTAACTTTTTACCTCATATATATGCGAAACAATGCACTTTCTACCCTCCCCTTTTTTAGGCCTCAAATAGATAAAAAAAGTAAGCACTTTTTAGGTGCTGCCCCCCATCCAAAGGTACATCAGGGGGTTGGCAGAAAGGGGGATGTGCCCCCTTCTGTTTGGGGGGTTTGAAGGGGGCAGCAGTCCCCTTCATCGCCAAGAAAATTTTGGACTTGTGAGAGGCTAAAAATGACCCCAGGTCGATCATAAGGTAACATGTAACCAACGCTGAAAAGCCTTTGACTCTATCTGAATCCATTGTGGAGTTGCAGCACTTTGAAATCAATTTTGATGGACAAAATCAATGCATAATACTGAATTTTGGGAATTTTGAGATGTCCCCTCCTTGCCATGGTAACAGGAAATTTAAGAATGAGCATGTTGTTACAAAGGCAATGGTCCAGTCAACATTTGTGCCAAGTTTGATTAGTATTGAAGAAGTTTTTATAGTAATTTGAACTTTTCAATGAAAACAGCCATTTTTCACAAAATGCACATGCCAAGTCAAATTGTGAAATAATTTACTTTTCTCTTAATCTGAATAAAATATTAAGTTTTCTCAGTCGTATATGTAGCATTTCGATAAAAATACAATAAAAAAATGTGAAAGTAAAACTACTGGCAGGTGCATGATGTCTTGGGGAAACCTGAGACTGTTTATGCCTAAAATCTTGAAATTATGGGTACCACGGAAATATGAGGCACCAGTATACTTTTATTGTTCACACTCAAATCCCTTACCCTTAAACTGCTGTAAGTGAAAGTGTTAAGTGTTTGTTGAACTAATCTGCAAATATATGTAGTCTGATCAGGCTCAGTGCTTTTGGTAGCTCAATTCTGGTATTTTGATAGTAAAATACCTTCAACTTGGAATGAATTGTTCCAAATCAAAACTGGGTAAATCAGGTTCAATCCAGACCTATCTATATCCTCAATATAGAACTATAAGCTAACCAGGAAAGTGGTTAGCCTTTGCCACCACTGGTGGTAGGCCTGGCTGTATACCATCTCTGCTGGTATCTCAATTCTTTTATTTTCATACTGAAATCCTCCTTACATACATAAAATAGACTGTTTCTAATTCAAACAGAATGGCAAATCAATTTCACAAATTCAACAGGTTACAGGTTAGGTGTATTGTTCCAAATTAAAGTGAGACAAACCCATTATACAAATTCAGCAAGAAAATTGTTGTGAAGTAATAAGGCAAGAACATTATCAATTCTGTATGGTAAGGATTTTAAGATACACACTAGATTAACTTGTGACATTTCTCTGGTGTTTCTAAAAAGGGAAGGATTTAATAATAAGCCAAAGTTTATAGAGTAATGCTGCCCCTTGGGACAAACTGCTTGCAAGGGTTTAAGAGATTAATGCATTAATGTATTGTCACAGGCATTATAATATGGTGAAATATGTTTTCATGTTTTCATTGCTACATACACACACTTGGTTGAACTGAATCCATTTCTACATACACACACTTGGTTGAACTGAATCCATTTCTACATACACACACTTGGTTGAACTGAATCCATTTCTACATACACACACTTGGTTGAACTGAATATATTGCTACATACACACACTTGGTTGAACTGAATCCATTTCTACATACACACACTTGGTTGAACTGAATCCATTTCTACATACACACACTTGGTTGAACTGAATCCATTTCTACATACACACACTTGGTTGAACTGAATCCATTTCTACATACACACACTTGGTTGAACTGAATCCATTTCTACATGTACATACACACACTTGGTTGAAGTGAATCTGTTTGTAAAGTAGGTTTGATCTCAGCCAAATAACAGAAATTTTCTAACAGTACTGAGGTAGAACAAGACCAGTATGTGGACACACTAAAAATTGCCTTTAGTACTACTTTACATAGCAACTTCCATTTTCTAAGGCAGCAGAATATTTTGTTCTTTAATAATACATGAAATATGTCTATTCTCATTGCTATTTGACAGAGCAAAGTTTCCTTATAAACTCTTAAACGTAATACTTTATTCCTGAATGAAAGTATATAAAATTTAATTTGACGTCTTGTGACACACTGATTCAATTTTAAATCTCCATAAATTACTATATGACATCAGTATATCTCGTTAGTCTGACATATTGAGAGGATTTTCGGAGTAAGTAACTGTCTATTCTTTCAATATCTGTCAATTGTACGCTAGAAGATAAATTAAACGTTGTTTGTTTAGTGTATGTTTATGGTTTAAATGGTTATTTGACTTGACTATTTAACCATTTGTATGAAACTTTTGACTAGATGAACCCTAACTAGGCTAAAATGGAATGGGGAGGGATGTTCAGTGATGGTTTTCAGACTGGGTGACTAATGTCCCAGGGGCATATATCTGTATACCTTAAAGAAGAGGTATTGGTTTCCTATGATAGCCATTTCAAAGTCAGAGTAGAGATTTATCAAATTGCTTGATAGCCTGGATAATGTAGTTCAGAAAGGGCCATAATTCTGTTAGTCATGTCAAATTAGAAATATGGGCCTTGGATAGTGACCTCCTCTTATGCTCTCAAATAAATGTGTGAAGTTTAAACCCCATTCCCTTCAGTAGTTTAGGAAAATCCACTTGTATGCAAAAACTTAATTAAAGAGTGACATATATGCCTGGGTGAGTACAATAGCTCTCTCAATTCTTCAAAGTCAAGCTAAAAAGGGAGATAATTAAGCTAAAATGCCCTTCATAGTTATCTGCCCTTTAAAAATGCATTTCAAATTGTGTAGTCACATTTATTTACTTTAATCTATGAAAAACTTTAATTGTAAAATATCAGCTCTTCCCATATACTATGTATAAGAGAACAACTACTATATTCACAAATATCAATTCTTTTTAAATATAAAACAGAAAAATGAGTCTGATATGTACTCCTCAAAAACACCAGTAACTTAAATTACAAAAAGCTTCAAAAAGTAAATAAGATACCAGTACAAACAAAATAAACCAATATTCCCAACCATTAAATTAAATGCCTTATGTGCTTTATTCTATTTCAGATGAAAGTTAAATTTAAGATGACAGTTTAATTTTAAGATAATTTCAATCTATTCTATGATTGTTTAGTATAGAACTTAGTAAATGATAATAGTTCTTTCATGACAATCAATTTCCTTTAATACAAGATTATTTCAAAGTTTATTTCCGAATCTAAAGGTACAATATTCTATTTTATCCTTCTTTTATTTTGAACTATAATGGACTTTAACAAAGCATTTGTCTTTATTTTCTGCTTTAAATAAGAATCAAGTGCTCAACAATATGCTCCTACTGATGACCTTAATTTTTGACCCTATGACCACTAGGTAGGTCTAGTGATAAAGCTTGTTAAGCAGCTGTAAGGTTTAGAGGCTATTGGTGAAAGGATTTCTGTGCTATGGTCAAGGTCAAAGTTTTGTGATAAGACAAGAAACAAACAAACCATAAACATGTGCCCCCTGATCTATTTATACAGGGGCATAAAATTGTTTGTATGCTTTATTTTGACCAGATATCACATTGTAGATATGTTAAGAAACTTAACGAAGTAGAATTCTGGGCTGGTCATGTTTTTCTGTAATTTTGTAAATGAAACAACACCATTTCCTTTTAAATGATTCATGTGGAGAAGATGGCAGTTATATGGCAGAAAACAGTACAAGTACAGAATCCTATAACAGTCTTCATATGAACTGTCCATCAAAATAAAATAGAAATACTGCAAAAATTGATGTTAAAGAAAATAATCCTAAAACAAAAGCAATCTGGTGTAAGGTAAACATCTCTTACCTCTTCTTCGAGATCAGCTAGTGAGGGACTGGGACCACACAATACACACACTTCTATATGCCGTGTTAGCTGAAATGTCATCAACCTATGTGGCACCTTAAATATTACACATACATTATGGTTATGATCTGTAACTACAAAACAGTAACATAACTGGAATACAATGTATATGCTGGATTCTCTTGCTCATAAGACATTCTAAGTTAAATGCATTTAGTTAAAAAACATGCCTACATATAAGACACATCTACCTAAAAAACATACCTACAAAAAGTTAGATACACCTACCTAAAAGACACATCTAAAATCATATAAGACACACCTATCAATATGTCACATTTACATATAAGACATGCCTACCATTAAGACAAACCAACAAATAAGGCACGCTTACTTATATATAACATTTACTATAAGATGCACATTTCAATAAGTCATGGTGACACTATGGATATCACATCATTATCAATGAGTGTAAAACACAAGAAATATCAAGTCATAAACGATCCATTTGAAACAGTTCTGTAGCAGCACAGAGAGACAATGATGTATATACATACACTTGGACTGGCATCAGGTAAAAACACGGGTACATCTCTAGATGAGCATGATGAGAAAGATGATATAAGTGCAGAAATCAGTACAAGTTCCCCGCTAGTTAGACTCCACCATTTTCTTGTTGCCACAGACACCTTTCCATGTACCAACAAACAACCATAGGGACTGTCTGCACATTCAGCAAAGGCATCCAGAAAACTCTAAATGGGTATATGATATAAAAGAGAGAAAATACACAACTTTCAAGATCCCTAATTTTTTTTCAAGTAGATCTACAGAGTTTTAAATGTGTAAAGCGATATGTAAATAAGCAATTCTTCAAATACTGATATTAAAGCAAGTCTCCTAGGCATATATTTACCAATGTTTTATTTACATAATTAATATTTCATTTTAAGTCTACTTATTTTTTAAGTTTAAATAATTTAAATCTTCACTCAATTGAGATGAAAGAGGTTATAAAAGGTCTTCTAAGCTCAAATTCAAATCTCAGGTATTTGATTGGTTAGAAACTGGCACATAATGTACATTGACCAATGAAAGTCCAGAGATCTGATAAAACTAGACCTATCACTGAAGGTGATTAATACCCCCACCAGCAACTTTTTGAAAAATAAGTAGTCTGAAGAAAAATTTCAACACAAACTATCAACTGTGTACAAAGAAATATTTCAATTAATTGTAATCCCAACTGGGGTCTCCAAATAAGCTTGCTTTTCACAAAGTTTGATTACAATATCTCATTCCTAACTCTAGTTATTGTCCGGAAACCATTTTTCTGTTTTTAGAAATGGTGACCTTGACCTTGACCCCAGGGGGTCCAAATGCAATACCAACCCAGGTCTTCATATAAGCTTGCTATACACCAAGTTTGATAACAATATCTCATTCCTAACTCAAGTTATTGTCAGGAAACCATTTTTCTATTTTTAGTAACGGTGACCTTGACCTTGACCCCAGGGGGTCCAAAAACAATACCAACCCAGGTCTTCATATAAGCTTGCTATACACCAAGTTTGATTACAATATCTCATTCCTAACTCAAGTTATTGTCCGGAAACCATTTTTCTATTTTTAGTAACGGTGACCTTGACCTTGACCCCAGGGGGTCCAAATGCAATACCAACCCAGGTCTTTATATAAGCTTGCTATACACCAAGTTTCATAACAATATCTCATTCCTAACTCTAGTTATTGTCCGGAAACCATTTTTCTATTTTTAGTAACGGTGACCTTGACCTTGACCCCAGGGGGTCCAAATACAATACCAACCCAGGTCTTCATATAAGCTTGCTATACACCAAGTTTGATTACAATATCTCATTCCTAACTCAAGTTATTGTCCGGAAACCATTTTTCTATTTTTAGTAACGGTGACCTTGACCTTGACCCCAGGGGGTCCAAATGCAATACCAACCGGAGTTTCCACATAAGGTTGCTATATACCAAGTTTGATTACAATACCTCATTCCAAACTCTAGTTATCGTCCGGAAACCATGATGTGGACCGACCGACGGACCGACCGACCGACCGACCAACCGACAAGCTGACTCCTATATACCCCCCCTAAACTTCGTTTGTGGGGGTATAAAAAGTTTCATAGCAAGCCTGGTTTTATTATAAGGAAACATGGTCCTGACCCTGTCGGGCTCAAATCCACAATTTTTTGGTTGAGTGGCAGACACCTTAATATCGTCTTGTGTATAATTTCATTTCTATTCTTTAAACATCAATTTACATGTATTTTGGTCTTTTATTTTCATCTTAAATCAAACTTTAACTCATTAACCTATTTCATAACCTAATTCCCATGCTGTTTTGTGAGCAAAATGAATAACCTTATAACTACCTGGAGAACAGAATTCTCTGGGGCAGCTATGACATCTACCGCATTTACAAGGTCACCAAAGGTCAGGAGGTCATGGTCCTCTAGAAATCTGTCAATCAATGGAAAACACACCTGAAAATATACAATAATGCATGTTAAGAACTAGCATATAATAAACAGGTAACTTTATTCTATAGAGGAGGAAATTGTCACATATAAACCAGGTTTTCTGTCAATACTGCACATTTGAAAACAACAACAATTTGCTGTATAATCAAACATCCTTGCGTGCAAGCCCCTTAGGCAATGTTTGAAAAAAAGAAAACTACAGATAAATTTCAAATGATATTTTAACATGATATAAGACTTTCCAGTACATGTTTCCTCTGAAGAAAACCATTCTTTAACAAAACTCTACCTTATTATCATCAGCCTCTATCAAGCTTGAGGTCTTTCACAAATAATCATGTCTTTTTGTCCCTTGAGATTTCTCATTTTATCATGCTGATTGACAAAAAAACTGTTTAGAACATCCTTATAACAGACTTTTCCTGAATTTAACAGAATAAATACGTTTTAAATCACCTCAGGATAAATTTCTTTATAGTATTAAGACAGTTCTTCATGATATTGTAAAATCCAAAAATTTCAAAGGGACAAAATTTTGCAGTTTTGCATGTTTATTCCAGGAAAAAAAACAACTATTGCAAGCCATAAAATTCAAGACATAATTTGTCAATTTCCTTCATTACACTGTTTTTCCATTTACATGTACATGGGTTTTAACTCACAAGGGCACTGTTAAGGTCAAATTATATCGCAACTGTCAACAAAGACCGCAATCTAACCCCTAACTATACATGTATATTATTTTCACATTCGAGAGGGCACCTGAATTAAGAACCATTGAACCCCAATCTTCCTTAAGCTAACTGGATAGCTTCTTCATCACATTAAAGAATCTGAAGTCCCTGGTGGGATTCAAACCAAAACTGGTGAGGAGCAAGTGGTTTGAAGTCAGATCTATAACCACTTGGCCACAGAAAGCCATATATCATTCATATCAAATTAGCATTAGTATATGATTTTGTAACCATCGACACTGTTTGATCTTAACTGGTTGCATGTTCAGATTCAAATGCTGCCAGCAGGTTAAAAGTACATTATGTTCCATTGAGCTTTGTACTAGCAATCTTACAAAGATGATCTACTTTAACCAACAACATAAAAAGAATGAGAAGCATAATAAATGAAAATTGTCATGATGTTGGGTTTTTTTTTTTCTCTCACTTTTTTTTTTTAATTTCAAACATTACAAAAAAACAAAAGCACATCTTGCTGTAAGTGATTAAATACTTCAACTGTGACACCAAGTGAAATAATTTATTGCGTATTTTCAGATGAAGGAAAGACATAAATTACTTTTCACCAAGTAGTGAAGCATCTAGAATACTCTAGTTTTACTCAAGAGTTCATGTCATATAATTATGGCATACATTTTTTCTCAGCAAATGTGCTAGAAAAAATTGATTACAAATTCCATACTTGAGGGAGTGTCCTTATTCTTATTAACATTGAGGAATGGAGTGACACATATTCATCTTTGAGGGGAGGAAGATACCTTGAAAGGGGGAAGAAAATGGTCTTTATTTACCTTGAGGGACAGAACAGAAGATGTGGGGAGATGATGGGAAGAGGAGATGGTCCTTATTTATCTTGAAGGGGCGGGATCGGGGGGGGGGGGGGTGGGCGGGCAGAAAAAGAGGTGGTTTTTACGTACCTTGAGAGTGTGGTGGTGGGGAAGAAGAGATGGTCTTTTCCTTGGTCAGGAAAACATAGTGGTGTTTTTAAATGAAATTCATACATAATAAGGTAAAGTCAGACTTCACTGAGTACTAAATGAAATTAATGGAATTGTCTTGTTCAAATGTGAAAAACAGTGTCACGAAATTTGCAAGTAGCTGTTTCATAAAGAAAGTATAATAATTCAAGTTAAAGTAAATAAAACTGAAACAAAAATCAAATCAAATCTGTGAGATCATGTGACAGCAGCCTTCTTCACCTACCAGTTAATCTGCTCAAATCTAATTCTAAGAAATTTCAAAAAAATAAGATGGGAAGAAGAAATTACTAAGAAAACCATCTCAACTTTTTCGTCATTTCATTTCTGCCATTTCTCCACAATTTTGAATGGCAGCCTTTTAAAAGAATATAAACTTATTTAGCATTAAAGCCTCACAAACATGTCAAGTTAACAAGACATACGGATGTAACCCTCTAATTTGCCGTCAATTTCAAATTGAATCATCAAGTCACGCAACTTTGAGCAAAAATATTTTACATACTGTCTTGTTTGGATAGGAAGTAATAAGTCAAAAAGTCACAGCTAATTATTAGAATGTTAAGTGTTAGCACGCCACAATTGACAGACGATAGTCTTTATAAATAAGGGTAAAATTAAATTAATTTTAGTGTAATTAAATGTATGGAGCACAATGGAAGTGACGCCTTGAATATATATTAAGTTCCATATTTCTACTTTGATTTTCACACATTTCATTCACATAAGTATTGAAACCTTCTTGCTTTCTGCAATATGATCAACTTATTTCAATGTATTTGATATAAAAGTTCTTGTTTTATTTTATAATAATTATATTAAGCACAATATACTCGGAGTAGTGAAATTTTATATACATTTTTTAAGCAAAATATTGGCATATTTGGTATCAAATTTTCAGGTATGTATTGACTACACAATGGTTTATATCAAATAAAAATTTCATTATTGTCAGAGGTTTGAAATCATTTTATTTGATTCATTTACGAGATTGATGCAACAGATACTGATAACCTATCACATACTTGGACAGAAAAAGCGTTTAAATGTCACAATTTCGCAACTTTTATTTTACGCCCTTCCACCAATTACACAAAGCCACAATTATAAAATGTCAATACAAAGTAAACTATTGTTTGGTAAATACATTTCTTCAAATTTTCATACCAAATTTGGCACTTTTTTTGCTCATTTTGGTCAAGTTAGTATATAGAATTTCCCTTAAAGCAAGTGCACACTTTCTTTTGCAAGTTATTAAAGATCTCTGACAGAATATCATATCATAAGAAATTTCAAAGACTCTATTATATGAATATGCTTTTTGGCAAACATTGACAACTTCTCCACTTTGGACATTTGAATCTGTCATAGTGGAGACATGACATTATATTTTTATTTTGTTTTCAATAAAATTGAATGGAAAAATCAACAGAACAAGACTTACATAGATAAAATCTGGCAAACTTACTCATTCTCAAAATACAACTGGACAGACTTTCATATAAGAAGAGCTAGACAATTATCTGTAACTCAAACGGCTATTGTACTCAAACTTAATTAATAATAGGCTTAAAATAAAAAAATAATAATATATTTCAAGAATTAATCTTGAATCATCCTATCTAATGTAATACATTATTAGTTTTTTCAGAGGATTTCCTCTTTATATTTAGGGAGAAATTGGAAAATCAGCATAAGGAACACAACCTGAGGGACAATAACCAACAAACATTGCCAGGAACAAGCTGTCAACTTGTGTCATATGGATTATTTCCTGGTATTGCATGCACAAAAATATTTTTTCGCCTTCAGTTTTAATTTAAACTTAGAAGTACTTGGCACCGTTATGAGTAAAATAGATGGAAACTGTCAGCTAATCTATATTACATGTCAGCTGGGAAAACTCATGCTGCCTTGAGTGATCACATTCAAAAAGAAGCATGACAATATAAAATAAATGAGCAGCTTGTATGCTCCATGTGCATTTACATGAAGAACTCGTCTTTTACTGTTAAATTTTAATATTTTTTTTTAATTATACATTACAGAGAGGTCCCTTAGATAATCTGCAGAAATGTCACAAAATATCAAGTACAATTATTGATACTGTTACATTTTTTGGAATTACACTGGACAAAAATTCAAATCTGCTCATTTTTATTAAATCAGGGGCCATAACTCCAATAATCTCCAATGAATTTGCAACAAATTTCAAAGTCATGTAAATTCACATAATGACAAATATTCTTAGAAATTATCACAACTTTATAGCAGTTATAGTATTGAAGCTAAGTTCGAAACAAGTCTAAAATACTGTGTTTCGCTTAATCAAGGAGCATAACTTTGCAATATACTTAATTATGTCAAAATACCCAGGTATGAAAGTAAACATTCTGACAACATTGAAAAATACCAGTCTACACCGAGCATGACAGTTGGCCAGACATGACTGTGCAAATCTGGGCATGTTACAATAATTTGGTGCCATGTACAGTCGACTCCACTTATAACGAACTCGCTTATAACGAATTATCGTTAATAGCGAACTAAATCTGACATCCCCGGCCGATTCGTTCTTTATTTTATATATTAAATCACATCGCTTAATACGTACTCGCTTATAGCGAATTTTCGGCTATAACGAACCATTTTTCAAGCCCCAAATGACGGAAAACATGTAAATTTCCTCGGTTATAACAAACTGTTATAACTGAAATATCAGGATGCGCTCGAATAGGATCAGTACATGAATAACGCTATCCAATAATTAAACAATCGAATGACTGCACAGGTTAGTTATGGCTACAGGCAATAAAGATTTTGATAAAATGTTCTCACAACATAATTTCCTACTTGTTACGGAAAATTTGTATTTCACACCCTCAGCTGATTGCTGTTAATACCCGATAATTGCCAAGTAATCGAATTTTTGTGTTTGCAATATCAACCAAACGATAATAAACAAATAGCAAAAGGAAACAAATGTTAATAACTTCATAGACAATTAATACATGAATAATATATTGCTCAATAAAATGCCCCGCATTAAATAACCGCTGCAGTAAAATACCAGTTACACCAGTAACAAGATATGTTTGTAAAACATGTATGCCACCTATCAGCAGCCATTTAGTCATGTGATAAGGTTATTATGCATGACTTCTGACCCAGTGATCAAACAATTAATAAGGGTTATCAAGTATCTACTGGTCATGACCTTAACCTTTGACCCCTTGACCCAAAACTCAATAGGGGTCATCTGCTGGTCACGACCAATCATCATTACAAAGTT